TGGCCCAGGAGGGCACAGCCCATGTGTCCCCAAGCTGGCAGCTGCAGCCTGTGCCACCCATCCCCTCGGGGGCTCGAGCCGTGGAGCGCAGCCTCACAGGCACAGCTCCAGGAAAATGGGATAACAATGAGCTGTCCCGAGGGGAAAGTGACAGTGACCAGGTGCTGTCCCCAGTGACAGAGGACATTGAGCTCTCTCCAGGGGACAGCAGGAGTAACCTGGAGCTGTCCCCAGTAGAAGAGGCCACTGAGCTCTCTCCTGGGGACAGCAACAGTGAGCCAGGGGTGTCCTCAGTGGAAATGGCCATCGAGGGCATTCCAGGGGACAGAACGAGTGACCAGGAGCTGTCCTCAGTGGAAGAAGCCATCGTGGCTGTTTCAGGGGACAGCCCAACAGATGAGGAGCTGTCCTCAGTGGAAGAGGACACTGAGGGCATTGCAGAGGACAACACAAGTGACAAGAAGCTGTCCCCAGCAGAAGAGGCCTCTCAGGTCATTTCAGGGTACAGCCCGACTGATGAGGAGCTGTCCTCAGTGGAAGAGGCCATCGAGGTCGCTCCTGAGGACAGCACAAGTGACGTCGGGCTGTACCAAATGGAAAATGACAAGGAGCACTCCCGAGGGGACAGCAAGAGTGACAAGGAGCTGTCCCCAGGTGAAAAGGAGTGTGAAAAAGAGCTGTCCCAATGGCTAGAACATGAAGCTGGAGAGCTCTCCCAATTGGAAGAACAAGAGGACAAAGAGCTCTGCCATTGGGAAGATGAGGATGAAGCACTCTCCCATAGGGAAGAATGTGAGATTGAAGAGCTGAGAAGGATGACCCTGCTTGGTGGAATGGAACAAGATTCAAGCTCATCACCTGAACTGCCGGAAATGGAGGAGATATCAAGACATCAGAAGGTTGTGGAATGGCTGGAAGCCAATTTCCCCAATGATTATGGTGATGAGAAGGAAGAGAAGGAAGAGAAGGAAACTAAACTGAATCAAAGAATGCAATGGTGCAAGCAGAAGGTGGAGGCCCAATGGCGAGAGCTGTTGGACTCCTTGTCACTTCTCAGTTTCAATCTCAGTGACGACGTGCATTCCAAAGGGGAGCAGTGCAAAGTCCAAGAGATGTCCCAAGGGGAAGATGCCATCCAGGACAACATCTGCAATAAACCCTTGGGGGATGATGAGGAACCCCTGGAGGGACCCAGCTGCTCCAGGCATGTGGGCGCAGAGCTGGCAGCAGAGGCAGCCCGTGCCCTGCCCAGCGCCCCTCCTGCCCTATGGAGTCCCACGGACACCGAGCTGGCAGCTGCTACCCCGGCCGGAGCTACTGAGGAGGAGGAGCCCCCTGAGGTTGTTGCTCCAGAGGATGGAAAGGCAGCACATTCTCTTCTCCTCAGTGAGGCGAGGACAGCCCCGGACACATGGAGCCTGCTCAGTGTCCTGTTCTATACTCCAGCCAGCAGCCCGGCTCAGCTGAGCATGAACCAGAGCAGCAGCAGTGAGACCCTGCACACGGCTCTGCTGGAGATGCAGGCACTGAGGCAGCAGCAGCAGCAAGAGGATGCCCTGGAAGAAGGGATTGCTGCAGAAAGAGAAGCAGCAATTACAGCAAAAAGGGAAGGGAGCCCGGTGCCTGCCCCGCACGGCCCCCCCAGGCCCTGGCCCCAGCTGGGAGCCCAGGCCCTCCATGGGCAGCCGGTTGCCCCCAGGAGACGTCCCTCCCGCTTCAGGCGGGCGCTGCGGGCGCTGCGGGCGCTGTTCCGGTGGCCCTGCCTGAGGCCACAGCCGGAGGAGTAAAACAGGGCACCGAGAGCAGGGATTGCTCCCACAGCCTCCCTCCCGGCAGGACTGCGGCTCACACGGGGCGGCCAACACCAACGGGAGCTGGGACACCAACGGGAACAGGAAGAGGAGCACAAAGGAGGCGGTGACCATGGAGAAGAGGAAGAAGATGATGAAGAAGGGGAAGGAAATGAAGATGAAGAAAGCGACCAAGATGAAGAAGACCAAGAAGATGAAGAAGGCCAAGAAGATGAAGACGAAGACAAAGAAGATGAGGATGCTAAAGATGAAGACAAAGAAGATGAAGAAGACTGAGATGATGCTGAAGACGACTAAGGCGAAGAAGAAGACGAATAAGGCGAAAGAAGAAGATGAAGAAGCAGAAGAAGGAGAAGAAGAAGAAGAGGACGAGGAGGAGGAATACTTTGAAGATACATAGGAGAAAAAGAATAGTCATAAGAATTTTAAAAATACCTAGAAGTAGAGGAAGAAGAGAAATAAGAATAAGGATAGGAATAGGAGTAAGAATAAGAATTTCACAATGTAGAAGATTAATAGGAATAGGGATTTGAATTTTGAAATGCATAGATGAAGAAGATTAAGAAAAGTAAGAATTTGAAGTTTAAAATACATAGAAGAAAAGGAAAAGAAGAGTAGTGAGAAGAAGGTGTATAGAAGAAGAAGAAGAAGTAGGAGAAGAAGAAGAAGTAGTTTAGAATCCATAAATGAAGAAGAGCTCAAATGAATAAATGAAATTACCAAATAATTTGTATTTATTACAGACTGTATTTTTACATTATGATACTATGATATAAAACATGATTATGCCATATGTTGTAATTATGATACATTCTAATTTCCCAGAAAATAACCTAAGAAGGAGAGAACACTGTTGCAGCAAGAGAAGAATTTGTCTATTTTTGCTAAGCAAGTTTGTAAGGGCCAAGAAAAGCGTCTCCAGATTTGATGTCCCGTCTGTGCGAGGTGCCCATGGATTCTGACGCTGGGTGCCAGTGAGTCCCCTGTGAGCAGGGAGTGCTGAGCCCCAGCGGCAGCGGGAGAGTTCCCGGCTGGGCCGGCAGGGCAGGGCTGGCCCTGCTCTCTGCAGGCAAACGAAAGGCGCCCGTTGAGGCCGGCTGAGAGAGAAGTGTGCTGGGAAGCCTTTGCAGCAGGGCTGGAGAGAGAAGTGTGCTGGGAAGCCTTTGCAGCAGGGCTGGAGAGAGAAGTGTGCTGGGAAGCCTTTGCAGCAGGGCTGGGCAGCCTGATGCCCACCTTGTCCCCAGCCCATGGCGTTTTTGGGTCACTTCCCCAGTAATGGATCTGGACAGTCCCGTGAAGAGATCAGACAACCTCCATGAGCACTTTCTGTCTCCATGTGGCTGCAGGGGGGCAGAGGAAAAGGAGAAGGAAGAAAATGGGACGGGATAAATCCTTACACAGAGTTGTTCATGGCATCAGGGAATCCCAGGCTGGTTTGGATTGG